TACTGTAGTATATATATATGTGTGTGTGTGTGTGTGTGCGTGAAAATATATATATATATATATATATTTATATTATATATATGCATGTATGTACGTGTGTGTTTGCATTTGTATTTTGTTTGTATTTGTATTTTTTATTGCGTATATATGTGTGTGTGTGTGGGTGTGGGTGTGGGTGGGTATATATATATATGTATATATGCATATATATGTATATATATATATAATTTCAATGTAGTATCTCGCTTTACATTAGGTTGAAACAGTGTTCGGGGCATCTTTCCTCGCCCTCGCACCGGAACACGAGATGGTGAAAGCGTCGTGCGATCTGGTCTCAGCCGAGAGTGACAGTGCACGGGAAAAACGCCGTACTACTGTGGAGCAATACGTACACAAAGTTGCGAATATGAGCTCAACTACACGCCAGGCTGAAGGAGGTAAGTTACAGCATTCATTGACCTGTAAATGTATATGTATATATATGTACACACACACATATATATATTTATATATATATATATGTGTGTGTGTGTGTCTGTGTCTGTGTCTGTGTCTGTGTCCGTATATTAAGTGTCCAACGAGGTGAGCTATAACATGTATATACATATTCGCATGTAGACCAAATTAAAGTAGAGCAGTACGTACACAGTGTGACGGATATTAGCTCTATTGTACGCCAGGCCGGAGGAGATGAGTGACAACATTCATATACATATTTATATAGAAATGTATATATATATATATATGTATGTATGTACGTATGTACGTATGTATGTATGTATGTTTATGTATGTATATATATATAAAACAAAACAAAACAATGCTCACCACTCATTACATATTACGGCTCCTCAAGGGGGTCATCTACGGCCGTCGCAGTACAACGTACCAATCTAATCACATCTCCACAGTCGCGTGCCTGTTACTATGACTATTACGCGAAAGGTTTGCAGGGTTAAACAGTTCGAACAACAAATATAACGTACACATTTGCCTCGTTGAACACCACTCACTCCACAAAGGCTCCTCCGCTGGACTTGGACTTACCCACCACTACACATTCTCACTCCTGTACGCGTCTGTGTGGCCATGTTTGCGTGCGATTATGTACTGCTTCACCCAGACACGGTTCCCACACCCCAATGTAATACAATGAAAACCCTAAAACCCTATGAAAAACCCCATACAAACGTCTGCATTACAATCCTTCATGTACCTACTGCGCGGGTTGATCTGGCAATGTACGCATTCAACCTGTTTCCTGGGTATACGTATTGTATCTCTTGTGAGTGCGTGCGACTGAGAGCTGTCCAACAATCGCACCGCAGTTGCATCAACCCGACCCACACTCCAATACAACAGTCTTACCACCTTGTATATCTTTGTATGTATCTTGCTACCTTGTATATCTTAGTATATCTTCTATTTGTATGTCTCTTACTACCTTGAATATCTTGGTATATCTTATCTTTGCATAACTCTAAATATCTTGCAAATCTTACTATATCTTATCTTTGTATGTCTCATATCACCTTGTATATCTTAGTATATCTTATATTTGTAGGTCTCTTACTACCTTTTATATCTTAGTATATGTTATCTTTGTATGTCTCTTACTACCTTGTATATCTTAGTTTATCTTATTTGTATATCTACTACCACCTTGTGTATCTTAGTATATCTTATCTTTGTATGTCTCTTACTACCTTCTGTATCTTGGTATCTTTGCATATCTCGTACCACCTTGTATACCTTATCTTTGTACTATATAATTATCAGGATCCTCTACCGGGCTTGATTTACAACTGTACGCGCTCAACCCGTTTAACGGCAAGCGTATCCCCGTGTATGCGTGCGACTATGTGCTGTCCGACTACGGCACCGGTGCAGTGATGGGCGTACCCGCACACGACAGCAGAGACGCCCTATTTGCCCAGAACCACAACCTGGAGGTAGTCCCAGTCTACAGTGGTACAGACCTGGGTGCAGCGGGGTCCTCTGGGTCGATAGGGGGTGGAGATTCCGACGGTAGGGACAATGTAGGTAGTCAAGCAGACGGTAGTGGTAGTGAAGGTGCCGCTGAGGATACTGATAGTGTGGTGTTGGTGGAGAGTGGGGAGTTCAGTGGTATGCCAGTAGCACTGGGCCGCGCAGCGATCGCGGCGAAGGCACTCGACATGGGCATTGGAGAGACCACCACACAGTACAAGATCAGAGACTGGGGCGTCAGCAGGCAGAGGTGTGTGATGTATACATACACACTTCTTTGTCTCGTATAGCTTATGTGTGTGCGTATTTTGATGTATAGGTATATATATATATGTGTGTGTGTGTGTGTGTGTGTGTGTGTGTGTGTGTGACTCAGCCAAGTAGCGATCCGCGGTGGAGACGTTTTACATGCACATGGAGGATCCAAACACAGTATCGGACAAGAGACTGGACCGTCTGCAGGCTATAATGAATAGTATATAGAATTACGATTGGCTTAAGGCTATGGTGAATTGTATATAGAATTACGATTGGCTTAAGGCTATAATGAATAATATATAGAATTACGATTGGCTTATGGCTATAGTGAATTGTATATAGAATTACGATTGGCTTAAGGCTATGGTGAGTAGTATATGGAATTGGGGTTGGCTTAAGGCAATGGTGAGTAGTATACAGAATTAGGATTGGTTTAAGTCTATGATGAGTAATATATAGAATTGGGGTTGGCTTAAGGCAACGGTGAGTAGCATATAATATCAGCCTTGGCTTCAGGCTATGGTGAGTAGTATGTAGAATTAGGATTGGCTTAAGGATGTGGTGAGTAATATATTGAATTAAGATTGGCCTAAGGCTATGGTGAGTAGTATATTGAATTAGGATTCGCTTGCTAATTGACTAACCAATTTACCTTGCGCTATGCGGCAAATATGGAACTACTGGGAATCGCCAGCTGAGCGAAACATAGACAAATGCTTCCTTCTCATAAAACCTGAGACATCGTTCCCGAATTTGGTATATCACCTAGTTTTCTCCATCAAGTTGTCAAAAAGCTCATTCTGTCAAATCTATTTATAACCCATGAGTTCATATCTTTTTATAACTCATGATGTCATCTATTTATGACCCATGAGTTCATATATATTTATATCCCAAGAGTTCATATTCATATATAACTTGCGAGTTATATCTATATGCAACTCATGAGTTGGTATCTATTTATAACTCTTGTGTTCATATATATTTATAGCTCATGAATTCAGATCTATTTATATCCCATGAATTCATATCCATTTATAGCTCATGAATTCATATCTATTTATAACTCATGAGCTCACATCTATTTATAGCCCATGAGTTCATATTCATTTAACCTCATGAATTCATATTTATTTATACCTCATCAGTTCACATCTATCTATAACCCATGTGTTCATATTCATTTAAACCTCATGAATTCATATCTATTTATACCTCATCAGTTCACATCTATTTATAACCCATGAGTTCATGTCCATTTAAAACCTCATGAATTCATATCTATTTATAAATCATAAATTCATATTCATTTAAACCTCATAAATTCATATATATTTATAACTCATGAGTTCACATCTATTTATAACCCATGAGTTGATATTCATTTAAACCTCATGATTTCATATCTATTTATAGCTCATGAGTTCACATCTATTTATAGCCCATGAGTTAATATTGTAGAGTATGGAGAGTAGCTGAAAGGTACGAGACAACAGGATACAATAGACCTCTTCTCAAGTACGGCTATCTCAGCTAGGAAAAAGTCCCCAGTCTGAGAGAACCGAACTGAGTCTTTATTTGTGCTGTCTTATATGCTTGGTGTGTTCTATGTCTGACAAGTGTCCCTCACTCCCATCTGGTTGCTTATCTTCTTTGATTAGGGTATCTACCACTGGTTGCAGTCCATAGCACTTAAGAACGCACTAAGTATATAAGACAACACAAATGATGACTCAGTTCGGTTCTCTCAGACTAAGGACTTTTCCTAGCTGAGATAACCGTACTTAAGAAGAGGTCTATTGTATCCTATTGTCTCGTACCTTTCAACTACTCTCCATACTCTACATTTTTTTACAATATTTTAAACCTCATGATTTCATATCTATTAATAACTCATGAGTTCATATCTATTATAACCCATGAATGCATATCCATTTACATCGTATTTATTGGTAATCCTTCATTAGATACTGGGGCGCTCCAATTCCCATTGTCCACTGCAAGAGTTGTAAGGCCGTGGCTGTGCCTGAGAGTGACTTGCCAGTGCGACTGCCGGAGACAGTCACGCTCAGTGGTCGTGGTGGGTCTCCATTAGAGACAGCCAAGGATTGGCTGCATACGACATGTCCAAAGTATGGCGGTTGCACGTGTGTCTTGTCAAGATGTGTGTGTGTATGTTTTTGTTTATGTGTGCGTGTGTGTGTGTGTATGTATATGTATGTGTGTGACAGACACGGGATAGGTGTGTGGATGGTAGCTTGGCAATCATAATATGGGACATGGTTTTGGATTGGCTGCTCAGTAGTTGAGGTGGATCTTCGCTTTAGGGTCTAGGAGTTTTAACCTTAGAAGCATAGTACATACGTGAGGTCCCGTGTATGAGATACTGAGGTGTAGCACACGTGTGCGGAGTGTCTCTATTGTTCCGTACAGATAAGTTCAGCATGTGTCTAATGCTGGTTCGGCGATGTATGTCTGTGTGAGGTTTGGAACAGGGGTATGTGCTTGTACTTGTGTTTCCACTAGGGATGGAGGTTAGGGGTCCAATGCTGATACCCAAATGCAATCCCAAAAGGCACCGCCAAGGAATGGCTGTGCTCGGTGTGGTTATAACATGAGGTACAAGAACTACATACCGTATCGGCGCGTTAAGTGGTTCTAGATGTGTAGCATGTATGGAGTGAGAGTGCAGCCTGTGACTCATTGTCGGTGGTTTGAAAAGGTCACATAAATATGTAAATATGTATGTATTTATGTATGTATATATATATATATATATGTGTGTGTGTGTGTGTGTGTGTGTAGTATTTATGTATGTATATATATATATATATATAGTGTGTGTGTGTGTGTGTGTGTATATATATGTATATGTAATATATATGTATATATATATATGTATATATATATATATATATATATGTGTGTGTGTGTGTGTTTGTGTATGTATGTATGTATGTCTATGTCTGTCTTTTTGTCTATATATTTATATATATGTCTGTCTGTCTATCTGTCTGTATATATATATATATGTGTGTGTGTGTGTTTGTGTGTGTGCAAGGTATGGAAGAGGACTGTATATTCTAGTGTACGATTCAACTTATGGCACAAGTATAAACAGTACCTCAGAGGCCAGGCCATTCACCGTATCATGTTTCTGTGTATCTCAACAGCCTTTGCCTCTCATTCCCTTCATCTACTTCACAACTGCTGTGACTGACCTTGTTTTTATTTTTTAAACGTATTAAAACTCATACACCCTTGTCTCTGTCCACTCATCCCATACGCCCTATTAAAGCGTATTGAAACGTATACGCCCTTGTTCTGTCCTCTCGTCCCATACGCCCCATTTAAGCGTACTAAAACACATATGCCTTTGTCTCTGTCCATTCATCCTATACGCCCCTTAAAAACGTTTTAAAACGTATACGCCCTTGTCTCTGACCATTCTTCCCATTCGCCCCATTAAGACGTATTAAAACGTATACGCCCTTGTCTCTGTCCACTCAACTCATACGCCCCATTAAAACGTATTAAAACGTATATGCCCTTGTCTCTGTCCACTCATCCCATATACTCGACGTCTACTCTTGAAGATGTCATGGACCTGCCGTACGAGACACCAACACAATGGACACGTTCGTGGACTCCTCCTGGTACTTCCTCCGCTATCTGGACCCCAACAATACTGAAGCGTAAGTGTAGGCTGTAGGTGTTATTCAGAAGTATATTCCAAACAGTACCAATTACCAAGACCTATGCGTCAAAGTTATATCAGTGGTATTTCTAGTAGGTGTTATTCAGAAGTGTATTCCAAACAGTGCCAATTACTAAGACATATGCGTCAGAGCTGTACGAGTGGTATTCCTCGTATGTGTTATTCAGAAGTATATTCCAAACAATACCAATTACCAAGACCTATGCGTCAGAGCTGCACGAGTGGCATTCGTAGTAGGTGCCCTTCCCGTTCAAACGTCTTGGCTGGATGGTGTCGTTCTGCATATAAATAGCACTCGCAGCATCGATGATTGAGCATTAGTATCCGTTACCTTTCATATTTACCATGTCCTCTGTATTGCTCATTGTTGCTTGGCTTGTGGCGCCCGTCTTCGTTGCTGCGCTCAATGACTTCGCGTGGTACTCACTCCACATAACTTCATTGCTCCTGTACGCCTTGTGTTACTCGCTCACCTTATCCTTGTTTCCTTACTTAATCCATCCCTCGTTCACGTACTCTGTCCCTCGTTTACGTACTCTGTCCCTCGTTTACGTACTCTGTCCCTCGTTCTCCCGTCTTTCTCAGATTGGCAGGGGCTGCGGCTGTTAAGGGCATGCCGGTGGATTTGTACATCGGAGGCATCGAACATGCCATCATGCACCTGTTGTACTCCCGCTTCGTTACCAAGGTAACGGATGGGTTTCTGCTGTAAATTTGTATACCCGCTTGGTTACCAAGGTAACGGATAGGTTTCTCCTGTATGTTGGTACTACCGCTTCGTTACCCTGGTATCCGATAATAGTCTTGTGTATATCCGCCACGGTTTCTACGGTTTGGGTTGTCTCGCATTGTCTCGCCTGAAGGCCACTAGTAGCGCGTTGCCGCTTGCCATGCGCTCGTAAGCTGTCAGTAGATGGTTTGTGTGTCACTTCTACGGTGTCTTATGTTGTGTGCTGATACAATCAGTTCGAATACTATTTTTTTTTATTGGATGAATAAGTTTCTTTATTTATTCGTGGATGAATAAATTTATTTATTTATTCGTGGATGAATAAGTTTATTTATTTATTCATGGATGAATAGGTTTTTATATTTATTCTTGGACATATATCTTTATTCTTGGACATTTGAGTTTATTTCTTTCTTCTCTCATGAATAAGACGCTCATTCCTCGCCCTGAATTCACACGTGTTGTCGTTTCGTATGTACTCACTTTGGTCATCTCTGCCTTTGATCTGTGGTCCACTTAGTCTGCCTTGTTTTAAGGTTTAGGGTTCAAACTGCAGTTTAACTTTTCTATTTTTAGTCACACCCCTATATGCTCTTTGACCGCATTTCATTTAGCGTTTTTGTGGTTTTTTTATCCCTAACTTTGTCTCAACTCTTCCCGTTAAGTACTTTAATATTTTTAATACATGCCCTATTTGCCTCTGTTGCTGAGGGACGAGGGTGAGGTACTTTTTTTTCCTTCCCGTTAAGTTTATATATATATATATATATACGTGTTTTAACGCATCGCTTGTTTGCCCCAGTTTCTGAGGGATGAGGGTGTGATCCCAAACTGTTCCGAGCCTTTCACTGAGCTGCTGAACCAAGGCATGGTGCATGGCAGGACATTCACTCACCCCACCACAGGCCAGTACCTCAAACCCGATGAAGTGGACCTCTCAGGTATCATTCTCTATGCGTCCCAACTGCTCTCTCTCTCGCCTGTGCGTGTGCGTGTGTAGAGATCTAGTTAGCGCTTTTCCCTTCCCACCTTTGTTGTTTTCTGGTATTTTCCACGTATGTAATCATATGTTCAATGTATCAGTATATATATGTTAATAAATAAATATATATGGTATATATATATATATATATGTGTGTGTGTGTGTGTGTGTATGTATATGTACATATATATATATATATGTGTGTGTGTGTGTTTGTATATGTATGTATTTATGTATGTATGTATATACATGTATATATATATATGTGTGTGTGTGTGTGTTTGTGTATGTGTGTGTGCATGTATAGTTTACCTGTTCGTGTGTGTGGTTATTGTGCATTTGCGTCTGGTTTATAATGGCAACTCTCCCTCGTGCGTAGTGTATGCGGGACATAGCAAAGTGAGTATCTTGAGCTACAAAAAGCGTGTGGAGATGAGCTTTACGGGCGTCAACACCGCTCTTTATATATGTCTGTTGCTGAGAAGTGTACTTTATAACACGTTTTAATGCCCACATTCCGGCCTGTTGCCTGTGTGTATGTGTGTGTGTGTATGTATGTATATATATATATGTGTGTGTGTGTGTGTATGTATATTTATGTGTATACGTGTATGGATTTCCTCTTGGTAATTGTGAAAGTGTCTGATGCAGGACATCGCGGGTATGTACACATAGGCAAGTGAATCGACAAGTGTTTGTGTGTACAGACATCTGTGTACTCGTGTGTATTTATCAGTATTACATCTGAATGCATGTGCATGCGTCTTGTTGCACACACGTCTACCCACGCACACGCACACGTGCGTATGTGCACCCAACACGCCCTCTTAACCCTACACCCTATTGCCCTAACATATTCTTGGACTCTAAACTTGAACTCTACCTGAATCCTAGCCCTAAATTAATTCTGAACCCCATACTCTAACCCTACACTAATTCTAGACTATAACCCTAAACTCTACCCGAACCCTAAACCCTAAACAGATCCATTAAAACCACTCATTCGAGAGAGCGGGTTGGTCCCAACTGATTCGTTTGAGAAGATGTCCAAATCCAAATACAACGGCGTTGACCCCAGTGCCGCCTCCGAGCAGCACGGTGTAGATACACTGCGATTGCACATGTTATTCAAGGCGCCCCCTGAGCTTGTACTGGACTGGTATGCATTGTACTATAGTGAAGAGTGTTGTTATGTAATATGAAACGATGTGTAGGTAGTGATATGGACTGAGCAACGTGATGTCGTCACATTGCTACTTCATATGCCATTCAAAGTACTTTCTGAACTCGTACTAGATTGGCATTGGTATATTTATTTATTTCTTGATTTATTGGTTTATTGATTTATTGGTTTATTGGTTTGTTGATTTATTGGTTTATTGGTTTATTTGTTTGTTGATTTATTGGTTCATTGGTTTATTGATGTATTGATTTGTTGATTTATTCATTCATTCGTCTATTGATTTGTTTATTCATTCTAGTCCTCGTGCGCGCGATGTGCGTCGTTATCTCGCCATTCTTATGGATGGTTTAGGGTCTCATTAAACCTTGTAAATCCTAGAACCCCTAAAACCCCGAAAACGACAGAGTGGGTACATCACAGAAGCTGTATAGATTATTCATCGAGCACTTAAGCTAGATGTGTTTGTACTAGGTTTAAATGTACTGTGTGTTTGAATTACATACTCTTTTTCATTCCAATTAGCACGCAAACAGCACCTAGTAGGGGTCCCGGCGGTGGCTGATGCTAGTGTAGTTGCTAGGGCAGGAGTTGATAGTCTTCCCACCCCTCACATATAATGCCCAAAAAGATATATTACTATTATATTATTATATATTTTTTATTGTTATTAAAAAAAAATATTATTATTATTATTCCTATTCTTATTCTTATACTTATTACTATGTATACCACTTCAGAATGATGCAATACTTTTCTTCGCCTCGCTGTTTTTTTTTCCAGGGACACGCAGAGTATTCAGGGGTCTCGGCGGTGGCTGGTGCGTGTGTGGGGGTTGGTGCAGGAGTTGTTGGAGTGTCGTATCCTCACAGACGATGGCTACAAAGGCTCAGACATCGACATCGAGTCACGACGTATGCTGCACCGCACAGTCCAATCGGTGAGTGTCGTAGGGTTTCTAGAGTTACTGTGCAATCGGTATCATAGATTTTAGTGTTTAAAGTTTTTAAAGTTACTGTACAATCAGTGAGTGTCTAGAGTTTTAAGGTTTGGGTTTAGGGTTTCTATAGTCACTGTGCAATGGGTGAGTGTCATTGGTCGTGAGCCAATCGAGTCAGGCATAGCTTGTTTCTAGGGTACAGTCCACCGGAGCGTTAGGCGAGTAGCCTCATTAAACGCATACATGATCATGTGGTATGTACACGCGCCTTATCGTTAGTCCGTGGAGGATGTGTGTATGTATCGCTTCCTCTCTCTCTCTCTCGGTAGGTAGGTAGGTAGGTAGCTTACCTAGCAAGGTTTTGGGTTTTAGGGTTTTAATCTGTATGTACTCGCCGTTAGACATTAAATACTCCTTGGTTGTACCATCATTACCCAGACAACGGGTTTATGTTGAATATATATCGCCCTGTGTTTTCATCTGCGGATTGTTTGTTGCAGTTAGCTGTGCTATAGCTCAGATCGGGACACCTCATATAGTGTGAGCTCAACTATCACTTAGCGCACAGCTACCACTAGACTCTATTCCGTCTAAATATTTGCCATGTTCGGAAATAAACTCTACGTGGATGGGTTTTAGGGTTGTAGGGCTTTAATCGATGTGTGCAACACCTGAGATAGTCCGTTTGATCACTCACGTCCCACTTTACGAGCCCTCTCGAGTATGTCATCGGTTGGTTTATACATATCACCGTGTGCAACACGTTGTCGCCTTCTCCTGTTGCATACAGCAATAGTAAACAACCCTGTATGTTTACCACTCGTATATATATGTATTATATATATATGCATTCTGTTAAGTGTGGAAACACATCGCTGTGCAAACTACAATGCCTCGATCTCCTACTATATACAACGATATCAAACAATATGGGTATACCCACCACGGCATATGACTAAGTATATATACATTCTATATACTACCATGCATATTCCCAAATACATCTGGGATTGTTGATTACGGCATATAATATACCACTATAACTATAGATATTCATTCTACAAACTACCATACATATACCCAAATACATCTGGGTATACTCACTACTCAGCATATAATATACACCTCTATAACTATGCATGTTTCCATTCTACATACTACCATACATATATCCAAATACATCTTGTAAAACTGACTATGGCATATATATATATATATATATATCTATAAATACATATGGGTATACTCACTACTCGACATATATATACCTCTATAACTAGATATATTGTCATTCTACATACTACCATGGATATATCCAAATACATCTTGAAATACTGACCATGGCATATATATATATATATCTATAAATATATATATATACAATATATATACTATCATACATATACCCAAACACATCTGGGTATACTTACTACTCGGCATATATATACCTCTATAACTATACATGTTTCCATTCTCCATACTACCATACATATATCCAAATACATCTTGAAATACTGACTATGGCATAAATATATAAATACATATATGTATATGTATATGTATATGTATATATATATATATGCAATATATATACTACCATACATATACCCAAATACATCTGGGTATACTCACCACTCGACATATAAACCTTGTCGTTCGCTTAGGTAGAGACAGCACTGGAAACCCATTCGTTCAACTCTGCCGTCGCAAAGCTCATGGGCTTCACCAATGGTATACATACTTATCTGTACAGAGTGTGATAGTAAACCAATCTGCCTTGGTTATGTAGGAAAGTATACGCTTTTGTATGCACCAATTGTGTCAGTACTCACAAAGATACTGTATCATGTGTGACATTTTACGTACTTGACATTTCACGTACTTGCCTGTACCATGTGGGACATTATACGTACTTACCTTAAAAAGTGTAACAGTATTTGTACTCACCTGTACCATGTGTGGCTGTATACGTAGTTATATTATCCAGTGTAAGAATATTCGTACAAACCTATACCATGTGTGACTGTATACGTACTTACCTTAACCAGTGTAACAGTATTGGTACTCCTCTGTGCCATCTGTGTCAGTTTACGTACCTACCTGTACCATGTAGTTCCGTATACGTTTTGATGAGCAATAACGGTGAATCATCTTATCTCTCGTATGTAGCATAAACTTAATCTCAAACATCATGTACGGAGTGGAGCGTAGATGAGCCGATACTTACACCCATCTAGTTGTAGTGTGGCCACATGCGTGTATGAATTATGTGAACGAACGCATACCCGACGGGTCGGGATACGAATGTTTTACTGTGAATGGGTGTTCAGGTCTATCCGCAAACTTGGTATACTGTAGTCGCAAACTTGGTTTCCGCGTACAACAGTTGATCTGATCCATGCATGTGCCACAACCAGTAGCCTGTCTAGTTCTCCGATACTCCTATCAAATTCACTGTGTACGCATGTTACTTGAGGTCAATGTGTGACAACCTCTCCACAAATTCACTGTATATGACTGATGGTCAATGTGGGGCAGACAGCTGTACACGCTGTGGCATATAAGATGATCGTATGCATACACTGAACACACCTCGGCATGCCTACCAGCGCATGTGCCACAGATGCATACCTATTTATGTACTTATACCAACCTGAGTTTATTTATAATCTCATGCCTCATCTTGACCATTTGTCACTGGCAGAGATACGGCAGCACAGGGACAGAGGCATGAGCTCCATCCTCCTCCACGATTGCATTGAAATGCTGGCGGTGCTATCATACCCAATGGTGCCCCACATTGCTTCTGAGGTAGGTATGGGCCAAATCCTCATATTGGCAGTCCTAAACTTCGAGGGTGCCCTGTCTGGTCCGTTTTTAGAGACTATCTCGTAGCGTATAGGAACGAAGACCGTACTGTTTTAGTACACACCATCTGGCACGTATACTGAGGGGAAAGCAGTATGCCTCATCACGATTACCATGTATTGGCCTGGGTTGTCTGACCGCATCTAAGACATCACGGATATCATATCTGCCAAGGTACACCCTATCACCCGAATGTATTAGTCAGGCATCCACCTATCCATGCGAAAGCCACAACAAGCAACCTGTGTGTCTGGGACAACGAGTGTTTTACAGCCATCCACCTCTTTGGAGTATAAGCGCACAGACACCTACGCGGAGAGGGACGAAAGACACTCGAGCTCTCATGACATGCGCATACATGGTTTCAGCTGTACCTTTTGTGCTCTGTCAGAATATTTTCTTTTTTGCCACAGATATGACATATCGTGATATCCCGGCCTATAAATGCCGTGCGGTGGCCTGTGGCGGACCACTTATGTACAGATACGCGTGTCTTCTTGGCACTGGTGCACTTCTCCACACACCCCACACCTACATGGACTTGATGATACCAGATATCTAAGTGTATACCTACATCGCGGTACCCGCTTTTTTTTTGCCACAGATATGAGAGGTGGTGACACGCTGACCCACAAGCGCCATACGGTGGTCTGTGGGGGATCGCACGTACAGCAGTTGGCATATAACATTCCACCCGCTCACACTATTCTAAATTTAAAAAAGTATCATCTTCCTCTCGTGCCGTTTCCTACATATGTTCCCTCCGCTCTGCACCATCTCTCACCTCCTCTCATACTCCTCTACCCGCCAATACCTACAGCAGATATGCCCCTAACACCCCTAACACCTACACACGCTTCATCCTCGTGCACGGCAGATATGGGAAGTGGTCACCCACCGACCCACAAGCGCCATGCGGTGGCCTGTGGTGGACCACAAACTACTGGCGACGGCTGAGCGTACAGTGGTGATTCAGATCAACGGTCGCACTAAAGGCACTGTGACGGTGGACTCAAATGCCACAGACGCCCAAGTGCAGGAAGCGGCCTTAGCATCGGACGTGGTGAAGAAACAGCAACTCGACATGGTATGTTTGTGCGTGTGGGTCTGTGTATAGTGTGTCTGATTGTGCTGTGTGTTTTTATAGTAGTGCTTTGCTGCTGGCATCAAACGCGATGAACAAACAGCAACTCGACATGGTATGTTTGTGCGCGTGGTTCTGTATATAGTGTGTTTGATTGTGGTGTGTGTATTCATAGTAGTGCCTTGCTGCTGGCATCAAACGCGATGAAGAAACATCAACTCGACACGATATGTTTGTGCGTGTGGGTCTGTGTATAGTGTGTCTGATTGTGGTGTGTGTATTTATCGTAAGGCCTTACTGCTGGCATCCAGCTGAATCCATACGTGTTGCTGAGTGGTAGTGGTGTTACTTGTGATGGCACCATTGTGTGCCGCGGTGTATCGAATGGTTGTGACATGTAAGTCGTGGTAGACACACCTAGCAACTCGTATGGGTCAACTATTTGGTGCAGGAGGGAAGCAACAGAGGTGCCTACCGCGTCTTTAGCCTGTTATGTGTGGCGTGGTTGTGTGAAGTCTGCTGTGTGGTGTTGTCTGGGATGTTACGGTTCTGTCTTACACTACTGTGACATGCTCGTGCGATACATAACGTAGATAGATTTTTTAGTTCTAGTGGCTATATAAGTATAGCTATATACATGTAACGGAACTCTGTTTGTTATAGTAGTTTGTATGTGCTGGCTGCATGCGTTGTTACATACGGACTGTATTGCTCGTTCTGTGTTGCGTATTGTGTGCTGTACGCCGTGTATCTTGGAACGGTATCCCATGTGCCGTTTCTTGGGCTTAACATATTCGAGACGCTTTTGATCCCGCGGGACAGACTGCCATAGTATTATGTATAGGACATTGCATATAGTGAGATGGACTGCAATATGGTTTGTCTTTGCAATGTATTTGATTGTAGTCCGTGTACGCCCTGAGTCTTATCGCACATGTCGCGTGCTCGAACAGACCTCACATTATATACTATTATTATACAATTTTGTACTTGTTGGATCGAAATAGTTGCTGGCAGACGACTTCATTGGAAGTTCTGCACTATGTACTATTTCCTCATATTTCCAACGCATGGCTGCATGTGGAGTATACGCTTTAACATAGCTTGAAATGAGTCGGCGGACGCAACATCACTGCGCATGCCTATGCTATTCCCCGTGTGCGAATGCGACCTGTGTCTATGAAAAAAATTCAGTCTCGTGTGTTGTATATCTCGGATCTAAACGCACGGTTCAGCTGTGCGTGGTAGTGTGTCGTTTGTGTGAAGTGAGCTCATTGTTTATATACTATGGTGGTATACCATCCAACGGAAACACATGTGACAGATAAAGGCGGGAGAGAAAATGCTGACGGCGTCTATTTCCTCGCTTTCATATACAGCCTTGAACACTAACACGTGCTGATGCAACCATGCTCAACATGTTATATGAGAAAAACAGCCACAAAGTCATTTCGTTTAATTGGTACTGGACGGGCTCGCAAGGTTTAGTCTAATTATTCCCTGATCGCACACTCACAGGACTCGATACGGCGCATGATCGTCGCTAACAAGGGGGGTCTGATTAATCTGGTCATGCCAAAGAAAAAATAAAACTTCGGAGGATCTATCAATAGAAGAGGGAAACTTTAGTTTGTGATACAAGAGAAATAAAGTATTAGACGAGCAATCCATCCCCAGTACTGAAAGGCTCTTGCTGAACATTTAAATTCAGGAACGAAGAAAGGTATATAAGAGTTGGCTAGACTTTTGCATCTTCAACATGGAGATATACTGGACGCGGTTTTTGTCATGGAAGGATTTATGAATCCGTCGTTTGTTGAACTACGACATTGCATGCCAACATACCACAGACTGCGTGTGAACCCATATTCAGTATGCACACACTACACTTTCAGCGCACTGCTCTTGCATGCATAATAATCCGAAGCGCATAGTACTTCTACAAGCCGCTGTATGGCCAAACACTACCTTCGAAAAAAACTATCATAGTAGTCTCCTCACCCACTGTGGCTACCCACTGACATAGTTGCTGATTTTGTTTTACTCAGTTCATACACTGACATAGTTGCTGATTTTGTTTTACTCAGTTCATACGATTGGTATGAAGAGTCAGTGACGTAAAGGATAGTATCCTGTGGTCGTTTGTATGCTTTGGAAGATGTGAATCCTCAGTGAGGTAATGATTCCTCTTCAAATGTGGAACGTGCATGTGTTTTTGAAAGTTTTGTTATCTCTACCACGTACACTCTCCTTATAATTCCTTCGGAACTTTTGTTATAAAAGGCAAATACGACAAATGTTGATATATAATTTTCAAGACGGGTCAATATGAATTGATTCTGGAGATATTCCGGGAGGGGTTGAAAAAGAAAATTATTAGTGCCTGATGTGAGCCCAAGAGTGGTGAAAAGTCGCATATCAATTGCGTGGCAATATCTGAACCCTGCTTTGGTAGTTTTCGATAGCGTCGTGCACATAGAGAACATTGCGAAGGAAACAGCGGACTAGTAACAGTACATGCCAAAACATAGGGCTGAAACACACTTATCCCTTATCATATGACCTAGTATTTCCATACACTGCAAAGCTGACAACAATTAAGCTCATCCCGGTGATGGCTGCGGAGAATTTTCCACCAACAATTATACGAATTGTGACGGAACAGTACACTGTACAGTCGGGCAAGAAATCGGAGTCAGAGATATCTCTGTCGAATCATGATGTAAAACAGGGCGAACATTGTGGGCCAGGTATATCTCGAAACGGTCGTAATGAATCGATATGCCGTGAAATTCATACAAAGCAATCCAATATTCTCAAATTGCGCGATTCATTGGTATAGTTCCAAATTTGTGCTTGTTGGGGATCTTATTTATTTCAAGATGGCAGTAACTTACATTCTTATAAGCCAATGGGAACGCTTGAATATTGACTAGTAGCATGAGTTAGGTAGTTTTATAACCGTTCGGGTTGGTAGTCGTCCATTACCGGCCGGTACGGACCGTTTCCACCTAATTCTCGCCAGTTCTGGGTGGGCGTTCTGCACTCTGGTCCGATGTGTTAGATTTTGATTTTGATTTTTTTTAATTCCTGAGTGAGATTCGAACTAAATGGGGTTCTCTAGAGAAGAAATGAAATAACAGGTCTGACCGGACTAATTGTCCGAAGGACAAAAATCCAGAGGCAAATGAACGGAATGCCACTTTGTGATTCATAATTTTTTATATTTGTACTATGATAGAAACAAAGTCAAAGAAAATTGTCCGGGAATTAACTCAGTTGGTAGAGTGCGTGCTTAGCATGCACGAAGTCGGGAGTTCAATTCTCTCATTCTCCAGGTTTCATTTTTGCATCATTGTCAGGTTTGAAGAACGCATAGGCCCCTCGCGGGGAGTTTGCTACCTTCGGTAATGTATAATGGATACTGAATATTCTCATTGATTAAAAAAGGATCGATAGAGGGCAGAACGTCCTCTTGATTGGGGCTGCAGATATATATATATAAATATATATATATATG